ACAAAGCCAATGTGAAAAAAATAAATAAATGCAATGAAATGCAAATTAGAGTCAAAAAGCAGATTTTCACAAAAAACAGGTTGAATAAAAGTATGTATATAATATTTTTTTAATTTTTTTATATAATATTTTTAAATCATTATTTTCGAAGAACAAAATTCAGGCCAATTTTTTCTCGTATACTCATATACTTTGCTCTGTCATCAGGTAAAACAAACTTGGCTAATTAGGTAAGTCTTCAAGTTTTTAGGCCAAGACAAACATTACAAGATTTTACTACTAGAGCGAAATGCATTCGTGCTTGACGAACATTTTCTTAGTCAATAAATGTTGCTTGACTGCTTTTAGAAACTTTACCCTGAGTCTAACTTTTTTGAAGACTTATTAAAAATGCTTTTGATACCTTTTAATTTGATATATCATTCTTAAAGGCAACTAGAAATAAAATGCGACTTGCATAAAGCTGGCCAAAGAAATTTGTAGTTGCAGCTGCCAGTCGAAGTTTCCATTTTGGTAAAACTAATCCTTGGGCTAATTATAAAAACTTTCCTTTTGCCATTTAATTTTGCAGCAAAAGCTCATTAAAACGAGCCAAAATGGTTGAACTTTAGCGCAAACTTTTACACCTACTGATGTGCACTTGGTCTAGAGCCTGACAAATGCCACGTGACTTGAGCCGCACGAGGAGGCGACAGCAGCTGGCAAAGGTTTTAGGCAGTCCGACAACTAAAGTTTTCCAGTTTGATGTCTTTCGCAGGCCACAGCTGGCGGCAATTGTGCATTTATTTATTTCTTTTTTTTTTTCACATAAAATTATGCGACGACAACAGCAGCAGCAGCGGCAGTTGAAGGCGGCTTTTGAATTCTTAACAACTATGTTATAAAAGTGAATTCATCAAAATTCAATTACTTGATGCGTTCGCCCATAAAAATGTGCAGCATTCTTTTTGGCACTGAAACTTGAGCATTTCCTTTCCTTCGACTCTTCTTTCTCTTTTTTAAGGCTGCAGCAGGTGACAGCGCGAGCAGCAGTCAAGAGATGCCATCTTTACGACTTTTGCTGCTTGTCAGGGCCTCTTGACTTGGCCATTTAGAGCGCTGATGTTTGACACTATGTTACTTCACTCAACTCCATGTAGTGGCGCACAAGTTGGCCAACTCTTAATTCATAGCACGTCCTAGCCGGCACGTGACCGTGCGGCTGTTGGTCAGCCATTTTATTGTGGCCTTGTCGCACTCGAGTGCCAACAAAACACGAAATTTATACACCAATGACATTTCCGAATATTTCGGGAGTGAACTTTAAAAAAGTCGCGGAAATAGAAACTTCAATTGGTTGGCAAACAATTCCAAATGCAACAAATATGTACATATGTATGTATGTATGTATGTTTGATATGTTGCAAACATTTATTTGGTTTCAACTCATAGAGCTTTTTTTATGAAATATATGCTGGAAATATTTTATAATTTATGATTGAAATTGAAGTGAGTGAAAGAATATTAATATGAGTAATTGAAGCTTTTATCATAAGTACGTTGAGTGTTCAAGCATATAATTTATGTAAATTATTTATTATTATTAATTAGATCAAACAACGAAATTTCCTAAAACCTTAAACCTTAAATTTATATATATAATATTCATATATGTTGAAAATGGATATAATTCAAGCTGTAAATGTAAATTACTTTTCATAAATTTTAGATTAAACAATTTTAGATTGACAACACTGGAAAATACAGAGTATTTACGACTTATTGAGCCCCCAAATACTAAATGAATATTCAGAGTAATTTCGACCTGTTGAATATAATCATTGCAAGTCCTCCAGCTTTCAATGTCTACATCTACCATACCATATACCTTCACTTCCTTCCGTGGCTGAATATGTCATGGTGAGCCTAGTACCCCAATAAATTCATGTAACTTAAAGTACATATCTGCATATATGCAGAGTCCACTTGCTGTTGGAGATTAGCAATAGAACCTTTGCACAAATCAAAGCCGAAAATATTTCTACTTGCCACACACGTCTGTTGCTCTGCAATGAAATGCAATTTTGTGAAATTTTTGTGGTAAAAGGAAATAGAGTCAGAGCGAAGGTTCCTCCTAAATGCACACAAATACTCATATATTTTTCTTAGCATCTAAAGAATGTGGGTAATTTTGAGCATTGCAGTCTGAATCTTGTCAGATTTGCAAAAACTGATGAATTTCTTGTGCATATTATGGCTGATCTGTGATGCTTTGCTCATGGGCTAGCAGCAGCCCGGGTAAGAGTTTTTCATCAACATTTGCTGGCACATTAGAAATTATGTGAACCACTTTGGTATGCACAGCTTGACTGGCGCTTGCCGCCTTGCTGTAGATCTTCTTTGGCTGTCGATAGTTGGCATGTGCTCCGGAAATTGCTAGCAACTGCAACAGCTATTGCAAGATTCATTAATTTATTGGAAAACTCGTCATAGCATAGCACGGCGCTGGCTGGCAGCTATGGCTGCTGTTGGTGGTGTTGGTGTTGGAATTGGTGTTGGTGTTGGTGCTCGAGCCGAAATACCGCACAAAATTCAAACTGGAGAACACAATCAGCAAATGTTTCCCTCTAGCCATTAGCATTAATATTTCAATGAATGGGATTGCGCTAGGTCCGGGTGCGGCTGAACCGAGCTGAATTCTGCAACTTTTGAGCTGCGCCATGGGCTGCCGAGCGGCGTAACAAGAGAAAATTCAGTACTTGTCAGCTGGTGCCAGATTTACGTGTTGTTATTGTGGCAACACTGCTGCGGGAGTGCAACAAAGAGCACTGAAAAAAAAAAAAAAAACGAGAGAAAGCAACAACAACAACTAACTCGAAGCGCTCATTTTTCGCTCTCATAAACAAGTTTTTCACACCGAACCCCAGACCCCAAGCAATGCCAAACTGGGGGCTGCTTTATAAATCTACATGGAAAATCAGGCAAGCAAGCCGGAGGCAAGGCAATGGCAAAGGCTGGGTACGACGGGTGAGAATTGTCGACTTCGGACCCAAATGCAACTTATTGTTGCTGTAATTGTTGTTCTACTAGTTGTGCATGTTGAAAGTTTTACTGAATTTATTATGATTTGCTGTACTCGCTGCTGTGTATAAATTATTGTTATTAATTTATAAAACTGTTGCCCGAACTGGCACAATTGAAATACGACTGACTGACTGAGTGTGTGTGTGTGTGTGTGTGTGTGTGTGTGTGTGTGTGTGTGTGTGTGTGTGTGTGTGTGTGTGTGTGTTTGGTTGTGTGTGTTATGTTAGCCCACTCATCTACCACTCATCTCCCACAGCAGCAGCTGCTTCACAATATTCATGTACTCCATCCACACTCCAACTTATGCGGCTATTATATATGCATTTTCTGCTGCGACCTGCCTTGATTAGCATTCGCACAGCTGCTTGGCCCATTGCGTCCATCTGACTGGGCAGTCAGTGAGTGTGTCCCTGTTGGCCATAAAACTTGATTTGCACACCATTTTCGCTTGCCAAATGAAGAAGAGCAGCAGCGCCGCCTCCCACAGCTAATAGTGAAGAGTAGAGCGAGCTTCTGAGCAGTACGTGGCGTATACTTAATATTTAGTTCAAAGTACTCCGCTCAAATTTCGTATACTGTAGTTGTAGTCCTACATGGAGTTTAATTTAGGGAAAAAATATTCATGTTTTGTTGTTGTTTAGTTTCAGTTCTCTTCTCAACTTTATTTTCCATTTCACACTTCGCTGCAGTTGGCATGTGTTTAGCATAATGCAGCTGATTTGTAACGGAAATCACAACATTTAGAATGCGCTGATAGCATAACAGCTGAACAGAATACAACTTTTGTAATATAGAACTGGCAACGTAGAAATGAGTGTGCTCTAGTCAGGGCTGCCCAGCTAGCAGATACCCTAGGCACTACGATTCACTGATATTCAGGTATCTTTAATACCTGAACTTTTGCACCATTCATTCCAAATTCACTTCCTTGATTAAATTCTAGAGCGGGGTAACAACAACGTATTATTTGCAGTATTTGAAGCCTATTATTATTGGTGCGAAAGCAGGCAAATAATCAACATTCACTACCGAAGCCCCAAGTTAATCAAGTGATTTTCTTTTTTTATTTTCGGTATTCAAGCTAGTAAAAATAAAAATT